CCTAGAGAAGCTAGAAACGCTGTTAGATTGTGGTGTTACTTTTTATTTTCTAAAAAGAAGACATTTTCCATCTGTCRAAGATTCCAGATACGGCTGTAGTGTCTGGAGCATGCTTTTACAATGTAGACCTCTTAAATCAGGTATTACATCACACCGATTCACAACGCAGACATTTCCCTTAATTCGAGGAGAAAGAACTTTATATGCCTACCCAAAAGCCGAATTTTCTCGTCGTTTCTTTGTTGAAGGCCAACCCACCAAAGACAATGTGCCAGATATCATTTGACCTTACTGAATACCATAAATGTGATTTACAGCTGTTTCATTTATAAGAGAAATAGTTATTTACAACTTACACTTAGAAAAATAAAATCAAGATCTTTGAAATAAAGTGATAACTTTTGCATCCAAGAATATATGTCCTAAGCATTAATTTGTATGTACATGCTATGAATAGGTTTCTTTTGTACTGTTTGGGAAGCTGGTAATATCATAAAGATTTAGAGTACATGGAAAAGAGAGAGAATCTTTGCGTGCTGATCTGAAATCATTTTACTAAATTATATGAAATTTTGACTCTTCGAAACTTCCGCTCTCTTGCTCCTTCCCCTTTTATTTTCAGGCTGGGCAAGAAAGAATTTTTTTATACGGTAGAAATGCACATAAAGATGTTTAAAGTGCTAGATAAATATATCTTGTTAATTGTGAGGATAAAACTGCATCTATCTTCTTCGTTTTACACTAGGTATTTTTTGCTAGCACGTACCAATCCGGATCCAAAAGTTCCCGCAAGCAAAGCCTTTACCGGATTCATAGTGGAAGCGGATAGCCCCGGGATCCAAATTGGAAGAAAGGTGAAGACTGTCTTTCTTGTTTGACAACAGGAATTATTGTTCAGTCCTAAACCAATAATGAAACAAATACGCCACCAAAGAGAAAAGACTGTTACACAACCGTACATTTTCATATGCTCATGTGCAACCATTTTTTCACAACACAGAGGAACTATCATAAAACAGAATTTTAAAATCATTAATTCAGAAAAGGAATTGTTCAGAATGGTCTAAATTAAGATGACTTGCAACAGCAGCAAAAGAGTCTTTGAAAACTACTGTATTGGCTGGTGCCAATCCAGTGAGAAGTAGTACGCCTTTAAAGAATGAGAAGCAAGTTGGACAATTTTGACCATAAATACATACATAGTCGGTTTTAATTTCAGCTACTGCTGGTCAAAGAAGAGCCCTTAGAGATACTGATGCTAGTTCTGTCTTTACAAGATAAAAACAAACAAAAAACCTCAACCAAACAGAGGCAAAAAAGCAAAACAAAACAACAACAACAACAACAAAAAAAAAAAGAAAATGAAACATAACTGTTTTAATAGTAGGTAAAACTGAATTGAACATTAGGACAGAAATCTGAAAACTTGAAGAGCTCATTTATTTATTTACTTTTAGCAGACCTGTACTTCTTGTGTATTAAATTATTTTCCCATTTGCATCTCAAAGATCGGTGTACTTGAGAAATACAAGAAGACCGATTACAGCGGCAGAACTCATTTAATTTAAGGAGAAAGCAAACTGCCTATCTTAGACGAGTTAAGGGCATGGCGGGCTGCAAGTAAAAAACTAGTATTCCTCTTGCACGTGGTAAAATGTGGTTTTGACGTTAAGTGTTTCGGGGAAGAAAAACCATATGCTTTAAGTCAACAAACGAAAGAAAACCGTTGTATTTTGAATAATCCAATGTAGTAACGCATCTGTAAACTTCCCACTTCAGGAAATGAATATGGGTCAACGCTGCTCAGATACGAGAGGCATCGTCTTCGAAGATGTGAGAGTCCCAAAAGAAAACGTATTGATAGCTGAAGGAGCTGGCTTTAAAATCGCAATGGGAGCTTTTGATAAGACCAGACCACCCGTAAGTATCGGAAATAACTCGGTTATAAAATATAGCAGGAACTTCCGAATTTTTGATTCTGGCCTGTATTCAATTCAGGTAGCAGCGGGTGCTGTTGGATTGGCAAAAAGAGCCCTCGATGAAGCTACTAGATATGCTTTGGAGAGAAAAACCTTTGGGAAACCAATTGTCGAAGTAAGTGTGGGGGCAGACGGAGAGAATATATTAAATAAAAGCTTATGTTTTCACACCAGATGTACTGCTGCTGATTTTTCAACATTATTCCTTGACATTTATATTTCCTTTAYTTTTCTATTATATCTCTGTCATTTGGGGGTTTCCAAGTATGTAGATTGCACCGTAGGTAAACCTAGTTATGTGGTAGCTTGGGGAATTTTTTATCATTGATCAATGATAGCAGTAAAAGCAGAAAGAAAACTGCCCAAAACCTCAAAACTTCCGTACCGGCACAGCATATGTCAGTTCTTAAGTCCTAATAAAGAGAGATTTGTAGGAAAGAAGAAAACATCTGAGGTACGTGAAACAAGACGATACAGTATTAACACTGATAGAGAACAATGCCTATCACACTGCTTTACCAGTTTTGAAGAAATACAAATAAACAGGAAGGTAAATACCGATCTCATAAATAGGAAAGAACAACTTCATAATCAGTAGTTRATCCCCATGACTAAGTGGATTTGATAATAAAAAACTTGTAATCTAATTCAACATTCATATATGAGAGCCTGATGCATTAACTGTAGAATTTCTGTCATACAACTTACTGAGTTCATCGAGAAAAATCATTGTATTCATGAGATTATACCTTTCTTGGACGTCACGAAATTTTAGGCAGGCAATATTAACCTAGTTTATTTCATCCTAGCACCAAGCAGTGTCTTTCTTGCTTGCCGAAATGGCAATGAAAGTCGAACTCGCTAGGATGGCTTACCAGAGAGCTGCATGGGAAGTCGATRCCGGTCGCAGGAATACCTACTACGCTTCCATTGCGAAGGCATTTGCCGGGGACATCGCGAACCAAGTAGCTGCAGATGCAGTACAGATTTTTGGAGGAAATGGATTTAATACTGAATATCCTGTAGAAAAACTAATGAGAGATGCTAAAATCTACCAGGTAAGTAAAAGAGAACGCGATAATGCATGGATTTTATATAGAATAAAGTAATGGCTACTTACTTCAAATTATGATGCACATAATAGTTTTTTTTTTAAAGAAAGCAGTAATCCTTCCATCTAAATAGTCATTCAAATCAGAAAATTACTTCAAATCAGGAAATTACTTGGGTACAAAAGTCATTACGCTCGACAAAATCTCAACCCACRTTAGAGAAGTAATTTATGGKTTTTTTTCCCTCTAACGTGCTAACTCTTCGCAATTCTCGGATTCTCAACTTGGAAGTTTTTGAACTCCTAGGGMAAAAAATCTTCATCAAAATACCAGAAGTGCTTCTTTTGGTGTATTCTGTAAATAGGGGTAGTTCATGTATCATGCTGTTTTTGAAAACTTTCAGAGATGCAAATCTTCTGACCATCTGTATCCTGGATTGATGTCTGCTTATAGTTTAGCTGTCTTCTTAATCTGAACACTAAAGCGGCTTCTTACCCCAGCTACTTACGAGGGAAAAGGTGGTTTTTGTTTGGTCGGGGGTTTTGGTTTCGTGTTTCTTTTCTGTTTCTAGTCTCCATCATCTGCTACTTTAAGCTTTCCGTTTGAAACTTCGGTAGCGTGAGCTGCGTAGAACGCTCCGGTCGAGGTTTCGCCGGCATTGACCGTCGCGGTGTCATAGTTTAACCCCCGCTGGCAGCTAGGTTGCCACAGAGCCATTTACTCCCTTCCYCTCCCTCGCATGCTGCTCCAGGGGGATGGCGGAGAGGATCAGAAAAAAATGGTAAAACTCAGGTTGAGAATAAGAACGGTTTAATGATAGAAATAAATGRTAATAATAAAAGAGAGAGACAGATAGGTATAAAACTCAAGAAGAAGGAGCGATGCGCAGTAAAGCGGTTCACCACCYGGTGACCGATGCCCACCCCTTCCACCAGCAGCAGTCGGCACCCTCCTGTCCCAAGTTTATATACCGAGCATGACTCACTGTACAAAACACCCCTTTGGCCATTCCAGGTCAGCACTCCTGGCCACGTTCCCTCACAGCTTTTTGTGCAACTCCTCGCTGGCAGATCACAGGAAACCGAAAAGTCCTGGATTTAGAGTAAGCACTACAGAGCAAGAACTGAAACAGGAATGTGGATTGGTGCTGTGGAGGTTTATAAATGTATGCCTGTTCAAAACCTTTTTTAAAATCACCTGTTAACATTATTGCAATTCTTCTTTTCAGATTTATGAGGGAACGGCTCAGATTCAAAGGATGATCATAGCTCGTGAACACGTTGGCAAATTTAAAGCTTAAAGAAACTTACAGAGTATGTCTGGCACCGCTGTAGTGTTCTACGTTTTTGCGGAAAAGGATTTTAGTGCCTTTCTCAATGGAATTTAAAAGGGATTAAGAAAAAAAAAATTCCTTCACAATATTTTTATTCTGTTCATTATTAAGCACTGAGTCTGTTCTCACTATAAAATAAGATAATCAGRATGTCATTTCTGACAGTCAATGCTGCATTCTAATAAAATATTTTTCAAGAGAAGTGTGGTTGGTTTGTTTTCATTTTGCCTGTTATATCACTTGCACTGGACAACTAACCCAAAATGCAACTTCTGAAGTACGTTAATCCGGTCGAGAGGCACGAAGGCCTGCATTGCTGTTGTCTGCTTGTGTCTGTGCTGAGGATTTACATACTATCCAGCAGTAAAACATAAACTCGAGAGAATCTGGCCTTTACACTCTCGGGCGTGTACATATTAAACGAGGATGAATCACTTCAAGTGAAAATGGTAGCTTTCCCTTAACAGTGACTTGCAAGATAGTTTTTATTTAGAATCCTTTATATTAAAACTCAGAATCACAGAGTGTGCCCAATTCGGAGGGAGCCACGAGGACCATCGAGTCCGAGTCCCGGCCGGTTCTGCGCAGCCGCGGCCGGGCGGATCCCGAGCGGGTCCCGGGCGTGCGCGGCGAGGCCCCYCCCGGCCACCGTCCGGTGCGCCGCCTCTTCCTGTGCGTGCGGGGAACATGGTGGGTACCGCGGCCCCGGCGCGTTGGGGCTCGTCTCCCCTGCGGGAACGCGTTGTTTTCTAGCGCGCAGCTTTACTGGACTAGGGGGGACGCGGGTCGCACTGGATCCGCGGGTGGCGCTCGCTTTTCCGGCTCCACCGCGGCCCCGGGAGCGCGCGGGCCGGGCCGAGCCTGGCGGGGCCGGGGTCGCCGGGCGGCAGGGCCGGGGCCAGAGAAGGGGTCCTTCGTTTGGCGCTTCAGGTTATTCCTGGCGAGCTGGTGTTCTTAGCATTATCGCAAGGTTTGGTTCGCAGCCTCTGCAGGGAAAGGGTTTAACCGGGTTGAACAGTGATGGCGTGAGATGCGCCAGCTGAGCTAGGCTCAGAATAGGTAGAGAGATTTTTTTTTTTTTTCTTTTTTTTTCCCCAGAGTCACAGTCACCGGTTTTGACTAAATTATACCACGTTGCTAACACGTTTTGACTGGACATTGCAACTGACTTGTTTTACAGGGGACACCGCAAAAGGATGTTGTAATAAAACCCGATGCCCCAAGCACATTACTTTCAGAAAAACATGCGGATTATATAGCTTCGTATGGAACGAAGAAAGATGATTATGTAGGTATCAGTTTGTTTCAGTACAGCTCTGGTTTTGTTCACAGTGATAATAACCTTTATTTATTGGCTTAGAGTTAGGGGTTTAAATGCATGTTGAAAAGCTAACGGTTTTTTACCCTGCAATCCAAAGTGTAAAATAGAGATGTCTTTGTTATTTCTCTAGGTCTGTGATGAGTTTTGGCATGTATTATCTGAGTATAAATTTGAAGATTATAATTTTAGCTCTAGAATTACTCTGAGACCTGAGAAACAAGCTGCTTGCTTCTTCATCCACTAGAATGCACAAGTAGGGGTGYGTTTGCATGTTACTCTTTCGATGGGACAACTAGCATCGATGTTATAAGTGATTGGATGTAGCCCACAACAACGAGATTCCACTTACGGCAGGTGAAAATTGTCAATAACTGCCTACATGAAGAAAAGTTGCAGTTAYCTTTACCGTTCAAGAAAGTACTCCAAGCATTATTACTTTTGATCGTACTGCACGTAGAAAATAATCTTTATGTCCTGTAGGTCACATAATCAGTGTAAAACATTCAATACCAAATTTCACTTCCTAGTGCCATTTCAGATTGTGAGGGTTTTGGCACTTGGAAATACTAGAGTTGTTATTTTTTGAGACTAGTTGGGGTGGCGRTTTGAGGGGTTATTTGAATGTCAAGATGGTAAGCGATGATGTGAATCGGTGCCGAGCTACCTGCACATGCCTAATTTGACATTGAGCTCGATGCTTTGAACTACAGAAATACACAGAGGAAGGGAGTGTAGCGTGCTACGTATAGATACATACATATACATTTTCCTGTGCGTACGAGCGTCTGTGTGCGCACCACATACAGAAGATCTGTGAGCGGCTGATAGGCGGTCAGTTGCTAAGCGAACGGATGGAAGATGGTGGACTAACTAGAAACTATTTGTGAAAGTTAACTATGTATTTTCACTGCTCTATATTGATGGTGTGTTTATCTGATCGAGAGCTAAAGTAATGCATTGTTTAGGAATATTGTATGTCGGAGTATTTGAGGATGAGTGGTGTGTACTGGGGACTGACAGCAATGGATCTCATGGGGCAGCTGCACCGAATGAACAAAGAAGAAATTCTGTCCTTCATCAAATCGTGTCAACACGAATGCGGTGGAATAAGTGCCAGCATAGGTCACGATCCTCATCTTCTGTATACCCTCAGTGCTGTCCAGGTAAGTGTAACAGGGTAGTTTTAGAAAAAGGTGTTCGTGAGTAAGATTTTGATGACTGCAGATGTATGAACCAGTTACTGTCGGAAGCCAAGAGGACATATTTAAGTACCTTATTAAAAAAATCTGATGGTCAGAACCTCAGGATTGACCTGTATGACTTTCTCAAAATTGTCATATTTGGGAATGTTTCATTTTTAGTGGTCAGTTAACKGTTACTTCGTTCTGTTACCAGTTTGGTAAGTTATCTTAGCTACAAATTTTACCGGAGTATTTAGTAGATAATTTTGGATTTTATAAATTCTTCTTAGTGTACATTGGGGTGAAAGATACACGTGACCGGAGTAAGAGTAAAATTTTGGTTTTATTTTTATCCAGGTGTTTTGGGGTGTATAACTTAAAAAATACAGTAGTGTGTTGACCCTTATATGTATTTTTTTGGTGCATCTTATTTTTTCACTGCAACTGTGTCCATTATAGACATRTTTTCTCACTATTGCTTGTGCCTGTTTTTTGTTTTGTTCTGGTTTTTGTTTTGTTTTGTTCTTCTCATGCAAACCATTGTGTGAAAACGTACTGAAAAGTTTCAAACACGTCTGAACAATTAGCTCCATTGCTCGCATTGTGCATCTCTCATTCTGTCTCGTGAACAAAATATTTTAATGGCATTACAAATAAATAATACGGCAGTCTTTTGTAGGCAGAGGCTACGCTGTATTTAAGGTACCGGGTTGCAACCCCTTAGGTAGGACAGAATTCTCTAAGTTTGATATATATTGCCGCTTTAGCGCTAGAATTACTCCGAACCCCGAGAACCAGGAAATGAAAGTTTCTTTATGCGGTGATGTCTGAATTTTCCAAACAGCCCAATCTGACTCCTTTCACAAATTCCAATTCAGTAAGAGGGGGGTACTATTTGAGGTTGTTACTTTGCACATTAGAGAGGTTACTTTTTAAAGGTATACTTGATGTTTAAAATACTAAGTATCAAGGAGATACTGTTTTCACGTTAATTGAATTTAACTCTAGTCGTGCAACCGAAAAAGCGCTCACAAACGCCGACGTAAAATTTTTGCGGTAAACTTAACTGGCATATCTTAATGAGCGTGCATGGTCTTAGTGAACACTGTTTAGTCCTATCTACATATCCAGGATGCTGAAAGAGTTACATCACGTGTTCTTGTGATCACAGTTAATAGTTATTTGTTCAGATTTGCATTTAAGGGGCATACTGTGATTATATATATTCTGTTGGAGTTGAACAATTTTTTAAATTTTTCTATTTTATGCAATTTTATGAAACCAAAGATCCCGGCTAACTGGATTTAAAGTCATAGTGTAGTGTCCAGTGTTTTTCAGGATTGGCACCGTAATATCGCTTAGTTTCAACTGGTTGTTTTTTGTTTTTTTTAAAAATATTGTTATTCAAAAATCTAATCCAATATTTAAAACTAATAATTGCTGACAAGCTTGCGCTATAAGTGGATTTATATCTAGCCGCTTGACGTACGCATATCCGAGTAGCTGCAGCRCAAAACTACAAATCCGTACGTCCGAGGCGTCATTGTCCCATTACGATATTAACCCTAATCGAATCTCTGTTCTGCGTATCCCTAATGTGAAACTAATAAACCTGATTGCGTTTTTGAAAGGATACTTCCACAATGGAAAGTAGCAAGGCACRAAAGAGTTCAGCTTGAATTGTCTGCATTTCCCTTGGACAATTTCATCAAGTGTTTAGACAGACATAATCTACCGTACAGAGATTAACTGCTAAAGTGGAAAAAAGTTTATTTAATAAACTATACCAAATAGTATTTGGAGTCAATTAAATCTTTTAGAAATACTTTTTTTTTTTTTTGCTAAGAAATGAAGTTTTAAAATTTTTCCTTCTCTTTGATTGTTACCGGGTGTTTTTGCTTTCCTCACATTCTTATTACTGTGTCTTTTTTTTTTCTCCCCAGATTCTTATCTTATATGATAGTCTCCATGTTGTTGATGTGAATAAAATAGTTGAATATATACAGAGCTTGCAGAAAGAAGATGGATCATTTGCTGGAGATGAATGGGGTAATTTTTAGATCTTTTAAATGTAGCGTCTAGGTTGACATGTCTAAGTCCGTAGACGTAAGTTTCCTTGGATGGTCTATTTGCATAGGTATCGTACGTGAACACTTTATTTTCGGAGTTAGGAAAAAGAAGGATTTGTAAAGGACAGAGTTACGTTTCATTCCTTTCGTGAATATTCTAAACTCCAGTTCCRTTCTTGTTTTAAGAATAAAGTGTCTGGTTCTTAAAGAAGAAAACCTCTGTGCATTCGCAACTTAACGGTACTTTGATATACTAGATAAGCCGTTCCATAAGGAATGTCGTACACTCACTATATTACGGTAGTCAGTAACGATCTACATCAGTAATGATCACATCCTTGTCAACTGCAAAAAGATTTTTCACTACGCGAGAGTGAGAAAAACTGGGTTTGTACTCAAGAACTTCCGTTAATACCGATTTTGTTTCCGCATAGAGGTTCTTTATGAACAAACGTGGCATTTCTACGCCGTGACATCGATATTTAGTTACTCTCAAAGTATTTATCACCACGAAAGACCTAAATTTTAACAAAATCCATCGCGTATCACTCGCRTTCTCGTCTGGGTAAAATTAGGCAATTGATATCTTAGCGGTAGATGTATGCCACCGTAAAGGTAGATGATATGTTCTGTGTTAAATGGGTTCATAGTTTGCTGCGGCCTTTTTGTTAAAGCGTCATTACGAGCATACCGATCGCACGGCAGATCGACGTTATTTCTGAGAAGCGCAGACGAAGGAGGGCGATACCTGACGTAGGATCGCGCAGCACGCGTTCGGTTTATGCGTTTCAGCCTCTGAATTTCTTAAGAAGAGAAGGCTCGCATAAGTTTGACAAGAAATGATCGCAGCTCAATTTTAAATTGCGATTTCAAGTATCAATCGCTCGGAGTTTGTGCTACGAGAGTTACATTGGACTTGACAAGCAATCATTCTGTTACAGGCGTGGTGGCTTTGGTTTTGCATCCAGGTACAAATGTACTAAAGAAACTGTGTAACTTTTCATTAGTTTTCCTCTAAAATAAAAAACAGCTACTACTCCTGCCTGGGTTTAAGGCAGAGTAAGAGTTGTCTGATTATTTTTGCATCATTTCCCTTTTCTCTAGAGCACTACAGATAAACTCTAAAACAGTTGTTTGTAAATTATCACTAGTTGATTTGGAGATTTATGTCGAGCTTTAAATGAGCTGTTGACTTTCGTGCGCAGTAAAACATACAGATGGTAATGTACATTTTCTAAATTCSCGGGAAATAATTAATAAGCCGGAACACTATTTGTATGGAGGGATTTTTTAAGTTGATTTCTTTTTGTYCAGTGTAGAACCTAGTCTTTTAATATTTTGTTCCATACTTGCAGTAGTGATTTAAATATATGTTTGTTGAAAAAATAATCTTATTTCATTCCTTACTCCCCACGTTATAGGAGAAGTAGATACGAGGTTCTCTTTCTGTGCTGCAGCAACTCTTGCACTTCTGGTAAGTCCTAAACCATCACTTGCACAAGTAAAGAATCTTCTCTTTGCTATGGCTCAAGTTTCTATAGTAGATGAGCTTGATAGAGTATCAAGTGCATTAGTTATTTTCTGACTTTCAGGGAAAGCTGGATGCTATCGATGTGGGAAAAGCAGTAGAATTCGTTTTGTCCTGTATGAACTTCGATGGAGGATTTGGTTGTAGACCGGGTTCTGAATCACACGCGGGACAGGTGAGTTTTTCTTTCTATGGAAATATTTTAAATAAGCAAGCATCACATATTTCTAATGCTTCTTTACAACATGTATCGCCGATAGCAATTGATATACCTCTTGTACAGCCTGTTTCTGCTAGGGAATTCATTTGGTCTTGATTCTCTGCAAGCATTGGGGTAAGAAGCAGGTACAGGAACAAACCGCAGACCGGTTGCAAAATTTTGAAAAAGGCCACCCGCGGCCTGCAGAAATCGGTTTGACCGCTCTGGCTCGAGAGTCTGTGTTCTTAAAATTGTACGGTTCCGTCKCAGATCTCCTAGGAGCGCTTTCCAAACCTTGCATTAATGTCTTACGTCGGTAAAATATTACCACTACGTAATAGAATCGTGTTTTCGGTAATTTTTGACAAAAGCAACTGTAACGATAGCAATTTTCCTATGGGAAAAGTGAAAAAGTCATTAAAACTAAAASTCGAAATGTGCGTGCGCTTATTTTGCGTTGTTTACGTGACCGTATTGCTGCCTTGAGATCTTTCTGCTTTTAGTCTGCCAAACTATAYTTAGTTTCTAAATACACAAAAAAATTTATATCTGTAATTTTAGATCTATTGTTGCACAGGATTTCTGGCAATAACAGACCAGTTGCATCAAATAAACGTCGACTTGCTGGGTTGGTGGCTTTGCGAACGTCAGTTACCCTCCGGAGGTCTCAACGGACGACCGGAGAAGGTATCACGTGGCTTCTTTTCTTTGTTCAGACTTGACTAAAGCTGAACTGGTTCTGTAAAATATCATGACTTCTATAAGATATTCAGTAAACATTTCAAAAAAAGTTAGGCTTTCATCTTGCTTTTWAATTTTGTTACAGACACTTGTCACGCAGTCCTTAGCTAGGCTTAGTTTGAGCCCTCTGCATAGGAAACTACATGCGCTGAAGGATGTATCGCCGACCACTTAAACCGTTACCGTATTAAACGGGGTCTCGAGAGTTTTCTGACTTTGGGAATGATCTTTTCTATGGGATGTGTACAAAAATTGCTGGATGTAAATCCCGAGTGTCATGGTGTTCCACATCACACTAGGAAATCATGTAAACTGGAATAATCTCTAGCAAATAGATAATTAAGCATCCCCTGCTGCTCCTCTCCACCCCCCGCCAAATACAAATAGCTGATAAATTCTTTGTATTTCCTCCTGAAGAAAGCGCTGTGGTTTCTCAGCCTCTGGCACAGAAAGTGAGGTCTTTAAAAGTCATATTCTTGTGGCCTTGTTTCTTSAAGAAGGGAAGGTTTGAGAAAGATACTTTCCCTTCCTGGAAACAGAAGCCCTGAAAGGAGACTTCATCGAGAAACTCTCTTTTACTCCAAAAGTACTCTTAAGCGTTGTGTCCGTGCAACAGTATTATGACGGCACATTACCAGTAAAATTACATTACCGGCAGAATTACCAGTAAAATTTGCAATGTTATTTTTAAAACCAAATAATATATTYGTCCACCTCTCTGCTTGCAGTTACCTGACGTATGTTATTCGTGGTGGGTGCTGGCGTCTTTGAAGATGATCGGAAGGATACAGTGGATCGACAGAGAGAAACTGCGCTCCTTTATTTTGGCTTGCCAGGATGAGGAGACCGGAGGATTCGCTGACAGACCGGGAGATATGGTAAATAATATTTTTTTCTGAACAAAATACACATATTTGAAAAAATCAAAGGGAAAATAAGGCTTTTTTGTTTGCGTTTAACTCAACTCACGATCCAGGTAGGTTTTGTAGAGGCTGCGGTTTACTCCGAAGGAAGAAAAGGGCAGAATTGCCATTGAAGGCGTACTTGGGGAGCGCACACTTTACAATGCCCTCGTGTCCCCCGGTGAAGTCAGTTGTCACTCCTTACAAAATCTAGTTCGCTTCCTATAACGCACGTGACACAAACCATTTCTCACGAGACCGCTTGGAAGATCTATGTAAAGGCACCGTGTTTGGTGGGGGGGTTTTTTGGTGTATCGTCTTCCGCGCCCACGGAGATTTTCGGTCCCGTTGCTAGCCAACGAAAGTTTCATTCCACACGAGCGGAACCCCGATCGACTTTTGGCAGTGGACACGAGCTTTCTTTTCTCTCCCAGGTGGATCCGTTTCACACGTTATTTGGAATTGCTGGACTCTCTTTATTAGGAGAAGAACAAATTAAGGCTGTCAATCCCGTCTTTTGTATGCCAGAAGATGTCCTTCGAAGAATAAATGTACAGCCTGAGCTTGTAAGCTAAGCTTTGTAGAGACAAAAGGTTTATATGACCAGTCATTTTGGTTGTACTGATTTATAATCTCATCTGTGAAACTGTCAGCATATTCTTCTTTCAGATGTGTTTACATTATGGAAGTAAGGCAATAGCTTTGCTGGGGACTTTGTCACTTTATAAATGGTATTGAAACAGTCTGGTTCTTATAATCTGAGTGTAACATGTTCTTTAGTTATATTCTAAGATGTCAAACATTTCAGATCTGTATCTCAATATACAGCCCTTGGCGCTTTTGTTTTGTTTGGGTTTTTTTTGGTTGGTTTTTTTTTTTTTTGTTGTTGTTGCTAGGTTTTTTCCCAATTCAAATCGGTTTGTGTGAATGACTAATTTTTCTATTCCTGTAATATCAGCTCTTTACACGGGCCTCTTTTGATGGTGAATCACGCAAAGCACCTTAAAAGAAGAGTTAAAAAAAAACAACCCCACCGACAAAATCCTACTTAAGCCGTGCACTTAATGCCATACTGTTGTGGTTTTAATTCTTCCTGTTTGTGTTTGCCATCACTTTTCTATACTGAGAAACAGCTGCCTCTTCTGACAGTAACTGCTACTAGTAAAACCATAATTATGGTTCTTCTAAATATATAAATGTCTTCATTTATTTGTGACAAAATAGACAAAAATCCACCGATACTTGAAATAAGGCATATGTATTGAGTACGTATTGTGAAACTTGCTAACATTAAGCATCCTAGAGAAGGTCTATAGGACAGTGACTTGTAATCGAACATAGAGTTGATTCTAAATTTGTTGCTGGGTTAAAATCCTTCTTTTGTAGCCTTTAAGATGATTTTTGTTGACAATCGATTATGGMGTAATTGAAAATAAAACTAGCTCTGGAAAATACTTGTTCTCTGAAGAGCAAAGTCCTCTTTGTCTTCACGGAGGTGCCAAAATGGCCTCTTCATTTACATTCCACACGTCCTCGCCGAGACCGAACGGTATTCCACTTGTAATATATAGTAAAAGCTAATGGCGAAGGGGAGGAAGTCTGATAATCGCTGCACTTGGGCCTAAGTAAAGCCTAAAGATGTTTCACCTGTACTTTGCTCAGCAGAGATAGCCACCCAAGATTTGGCCCACCTAGTGTTCATACTAGCAGAACTATAAATTGATGTGCAGTAGTTTAAAATAAAAAACCAAACTCACCAAATAGAAACTACTGGTGTAGGCTACAATATTGGGAATTGATTTGAAAATAGCAAAGACTACTGTAACTATGACCGGCTTCTGCACTAGCTTCAGTCACGATAACAGAAGTACCTTTTAGCACTTGTTTTAGCACTAGCTGAATGCCTACGGGCACAGTGGACATCTTGCCTCTTTATTTGTCTGGGTGCCGCGGGAGAAACCGTAGAACAGGCGAGTAGAGTATCATACACTATAGTGGACGGTATTTTTGTGGAAGAGGTCGGTGTCGGCCCGCATGACCTCCGGCACTGTTATTATAAGTGATGAGAAGGCACCTGCCGATTGCAGCAGCATCCCAGTTAAACCGATGCGGCTCTTGTTGAGGATGGATTCTGACCCGCAGCCCTATGAAAGCGAAGTTGAAGGGCCAATGATCTGAGTCAGTGGGATGGAGAGAGACCGCAGAGCGGGACGGGGCGGGGTGCTTAAGTCAGCGCAGCGGTGAAGGACGTTCAGGATCGGTCACAGTTCGGTGCTGAAAGCAAGCGTGGGACCCATTTCGCACGAGGCGAGCGTGTGCCGGGCACGGCAGTTCCAGCCTGTGTCCGGCCTCGTGCAGCGGCATCTTTCCAGAGGCAGAGCTGTTTTTTCTGCGTACGGTAGTCTTGCGTATTACGGTCGCGTAKAGTCTACGTGTGCTCGGGGTGGAGCGGCATAAGCTCCGAGCACCTCCCCTGGCCCCGCCCCACCGCGCCTCGCTCCGCTACGGGTCGGCTCGGCTTTGCCSCCCGCCGGCTCTCCTCGGTCCGGAATCCCGCTCGGCACCGCCCGCGGCGGCGGGTCTCGGGCAGAGCCAGGTCGGGGAGGTTCGGCGAGGCGGGGCGGGGCTGTGGAGGGGGCGGGGGCGCCCCCTCTGCCCCCTTTCCATAGAAAAAGTTGCCCTTGGGCGCGGGAACGCTTCCGGGGCAGCAGCATCATCGTCACCCGCACCGTCGTCATTACCGTCATCATCATGACAACGCTTCGCGCCTTCACCTGCGACGACCTCTTCCGATTCAACAACATGTGAGCACCGGCCGTCCCCTCTCCCTGCTCCCCGAGCCCCTGCGCGCTTCCCCACCCCGCGGGGGTTCGGGGCGCTCCGCCGGCCGGGCGGGCCCGAGCCGGTGGCGAGCGCCGCTCTCTCTTCCCCTACAGCAACTTGGACCCGCTGACCGAGACCGTATCCTTTCCGCCGGGGATGGGGCGCGGGGCCGTGCGCGGGCGGCGCAGCCGGCAGCTGCCGCAGTTGCTCCTTAACCGAGCGCCCAGTACGGCATTCCCTTCTACTTGCAATACCTCGCCCACTGGCCCGAGTATTTCATCGTCGCCGAGGCGCCCGGCGGGGAGCTGATGGGTTACAGTGAGTTCCGACTGTTCCGGCGGAAACGTTTCCCTTGGTTGTTTGTTCCGGGGATTATAACGCGGCAGCTTTTCTTACTCCTCGCGTTTACCAAATACCAATTTCTTACTCCTCGCGTTTTCCGAGCGTGGAAGGGGAACGTTGCGTTACATCTTCCCCTTTCTTAAATGCCTTAGGGTATTATGTAGGACTCACGGCAGCAGCGTCCAGTTTGGTGTTCCCAGCGCAGCGAGGGGCCTCGGTCGCGGTGACATCCACTCGGTCTCGGCGAATGGATATTTCTGTAATCTGGAATCGAGTTCCTACATTCCCTCCACACAGCCAGCGAAAGCGCTAGGCTCGCATTTTGCACTGCCCCGTAAGGGAAAGCTCTGAGCCCGGATGTCATTTCCCGAATGGCTGTGGAATATTTGTGTGTTTGAGAAATCACACCAAAGAGAACTGCCAGGAGGCGGGGCGAGTAACTGTAGAGTAACTGTTTTTGCAGGGACCCGGGAAATTAAGTATTTCACATATTGAAGCTGATAGTATGTGTGGGGTATAGAGCATTTCTCCTTGCCCACYACGGTGATTGCTTATTAGCAGTTACCGCGATATCTGTAAAAGTGTGTGCAGAAACGTGAAAGTTCATTAATAAACTATCATTGGATTGGCCCGGTGTAGAGAGGAGAGTAACTGGAAAGAGGCCCCCCAAAATACCATGCCCACCTCCGCTTCTTTCTTTTTTTCTCTTAACCACATCKTGTTTGTGGGACCTTAGCTTTCTGTTGCCAGATCGGCAAAGCTTCCCAAGCTCTATTTCCCCATAATCGCCAAAGGTCTCAAATAGTCGCTGGGATGGCGGTTTTGAGTTTCTAGCCCCGTGCTCCTCCATTATTATTTTAGTCAGATGTTACATTTCGGTTCAGTGAAAGACTCGTGGGAATCGCCTAAAGTTTGCATTTAGAAGTCAGCTCCTACAAGGAGCTTTCAAACTTGCTCAGGCTTTTTACACTAGTGAAGAAACTGCTGTAATATTTGAGCAAAATGACATTTTTAGTGGCTGTGACGTCATAGAGCGATAAGGTAGACATCCCCGTTTGAGCCTTTACCCCGCAATCATCGTAATGTTYGTTCATCCACGGCTCATTCCCCTTGCGAAGTCGTCCGGCCGCGGGCAGCGCGTTATTCCAAAGGCGCCGCCGAGCTGATTCTCCGTACATTCGCAGTCATGGGCAAAGCCGAAGGCTCCGTGGCTAGGGAAGAATGGCATGGACACGTTACCGCTCTCTCCGTTGCGCCAGAATTTCGACGGCTGGGTTTGGCTGCTAAACTGATGGAGCTATTGGAAGAAATTTCAGAAAAGTGAGTTGTATGTCTATCTTTACATTTATCTTTGAAAGTAATATTTGAAAGTAGTATTTCTACAGACCTTTGTCCCTGGTTCACGTGCAGAATTTYGCTGTACGTAGTGTTCTGATTTTCTGAAATTCCTCATTGCTGGAGAAAAAGAGTTACGAAAGTTGCTTAGCAGTTTAGAATCTCAAGGTTTCTCTGAAAGCTAACTTGCCAGAGTGAGGAGAACTTAGCCCRAATTCCAGCAGAGATAGTGCGCGAAGGAACAGTTCTCGACAGGAAAAGAGTTTTGTGAAACATCGGCGCTGATTCCTCGAGGGCCTATAACGTAATCTTTCATGATTATGAGCTTTGCACAATGCCCTCGGGCACAATCTCGAACAAATTTTGTTCCGCAGACAATACCTTAGCTTACGTGCCATCCCGCGCTCGGTTATTCGTACCCGAGAGAATTTAATTTAGCGTCAGATGAACCCACTGGGAACTGTCCTTAACCGACTCCAGTAGGGCAACCCTGCTACGATCGATAAAGCTGGAAAATAGTACGATGTTTTGAAAAAATTGCCTCGTGAGGTCGAGGGCCTATCTCCTCTCGGACAATTGAATGTTGCGACCGATTCCGCTCCTCCTAATCCAGTCGATCTAAAATGCGGATTTAAAAAAAAAAAAAAAAAAATCGTGTCACGTGGATACGGGCCCGCGCGGGCGTTTAGCTCATCTGGTTCTTTCCATTCGTATTTTTGATCCCGCCGATTGGCGCGATGGGCGGCGTGACAAAAATAAAATGAAATCCGTGTCCGTACTTCGGTTTTCCCTCAGTAAAGGAGCGTATCTGTTATTACATTGTGAAAGAGGTTTGGTTAGTGTACTGCGTCAGACTTGCTTCGGTTTGATCACATTTTATTACTAGTTATTTAGAGCTACATTACCTACTATTTCTTAATGTGGTTTTGTTTATTCATTTGTTTGGTTTTTTTCCTTCCCTTCTAAAGAAAAGGTGGATTTTTTGTCGATCTCTTCGTGAGAGTGTCAAATCAGGTTGCCGTGAATATGTATAAGCAACTAGGCTACAGTGTGTACCGGACGGTATTAGAGTACTACTCCGCTAGCAGCGGAGAGCCAGACGAAGACGCTTACGGTAAGTTTTCGTTCTGTTTCGAGTCAAATGGAACGATTCTCATGTCAAGGGTTCCTGGGCACATTTGTAAGACTATTATTATTTATTTTGGTACAGGAAACAATTTCAGATAGTTGCTGATTAGTGGGATTTTTCTACCCTTTCTCAAGGATTTTTTACTAGAGAAAAATCCTACTTTTACAAAACTTAATCTTGCCGTTTACACATTTTGTAGTGTCTCTGACAAAATCAACTCCAGAACAAGAGGAAACAGGAAGGAATGGCAGCCCTTTCTTCCTTTCATCCCATAACAAGGACTTGAAATTTTGTTTTTCTGATATGACTAACTACAAATTAACAAGCGTCCGCGGTCAACGGCGGTGGAGAGTCAGGCGACACGTTCCGTTCGAAACGAAGGAACGTGGAAATTCAAGCGTGTTAATGTTAACTCCATTTACAAAAGTGAACTACCAGGTGCTTCCTCTTTCTAGATCTTTTCTTCTTTTAAGTATCCTCCCAAAGCGTTACTCGGCCGTGCCGCGTATCGTTTCTGTTCTCGTGCTCCATATTTGATACGGAGGAGCGCTGCAAAATACGAGGGCTACGGACAGACACCCGCCATTGTTACGGGTGCCTTAACTTATATATTTATCCCTTTAGCCCGTCATTTCCTTTCCATTCGGCCGAGTTTCACGCAATGTTTTATATCGGTCTATACGATTGCCACCGAACATTAAGGACACGAAACTATTAGCATGTCCCGAGGAGAACGACCGAGACGGTGAGAGGTCTCGAGGCGAGACTTAGGAGGAGCGGTCGATATCCACGGGTTTGTTCCACTTGGAGAGAGAAAGCTGAGGCATGCCCTCGTCACTAACTTCCTCAGCTAGGGCAGCGGCAGAGGCAGGCATCGATCTCCTCTCTCCGGTGCCCAGTGACGGGACATGAGGAGACGGAGCAAAGCCGTGTYGGGGAACGTTCACGTGGGACGTTGGGGAAAGGCTCTTTGAGGGGACGGTCGGTGACTGCGACGGCGTTGCTGGGTAAACGGTCACGACGCCAAGCCCGTCAGAGTTTGAGGAATGCGTGGACGACGGCCCTGATCGTACGGTGCAGTTTCGGGTAGTCCCGCGTGCAGCGGGGAGTCTCGTTCTTACGGTCCCCTGTGACTTGAGGTAGTCTTAAGATTCCAGGAAATTCTCTGGATTAAAAATGATCTTATTTTAATTGAAGAATTCATTTCATACGCATTTGTATGTAATGACTGCATTACTATAATAACTTTTTTCCTTTTGCTCTAGATATGAGAAAAGCTCTTTCCAGAGACACAGAGAAGAAATCGGTTATACCTCTGCCTCATCCCGTGAGGCCAGAAGACATCGAGTAACTCTAAGCTGCAGTTCCCATGTAATTCACTGAATGTCAGGTTCCATGTCCCATAACCCCCAGGAACTTACAGATAAGAAGTTTTAGGCCGAATGTTTTTCCCAAAAAATACTAAAAAGCATTGTTGAGAAGCTGACTTAACACCGCTTCTACTGGCAATGGCTGTATATAGCCACATTTAGACTATTAATTTTCCTTTCAAACACTGGAGATTTGGAGACTATTAAAATGGAATTACCACCTATGTGGTCTTCTCTTGGTTTTCTTTCAAACCAAAATACCTGAATTTGGTAATAGTAAAAAATCTTCGAATGCATTTATCCATTGCCACTGAAAACGCCGTAAAATACCCAAAAACGGGTAGAGAAGGGAGAAAAGGGAGAAAACTCTTTCCCCTCTTCCCGGCACAGGACCGAACTTAGGGTCCGAACCTTTTGGTCGAAGAGCCGTACAAATTCGTCGGCGCAGTTTGCGCCGACCGGGCGGGAATCGAGAGCGGCAGGCACGGGACAGCGGACRGGCTCCCGAGGGGACGTCCGGGAGACGAGGCTACCGGAATCTAATCTGAATCGACTGAAAACATTCTTTCCCCGGCAGAAGGCAGGAGCAGATCCGTCCCGATCAGACCGTCGGACGGCATTTGCATCCGCTCTAGGGGAAAACATCCTCCGACTGCCAGGAGCTCGGACCGCTTTTCCTACCGGCTCCTGGACAGCATCAGGGCAACCGTGAGGGAGTCTAATCTAAATAACTCCCATATTCCTCAGAGTGAGTAACCTGAATGAAGAACTATGAAGAATACATTGTTTATTTCAGGCCGAGGCCCGTGAAGCTTCAGCCTCGGCTCTGAACTGCACATTCCCGCTCCGGCCCTCTCTGCCGTGGCGTGGGGATTGCGAGCGGGGGGCCGAGAGCGACTCCAAAACGCGCCAATCCCGGCCCGCCTTTCTCCGCGCTGCCCAATCACAGACGACCTTTCAATCGGGGCGCGGCGCAGCCGAGCTCAGCCCTCAGCCCGGCCACTGTCCCCGTTCGCCTGAGGCGCCGCTCCCGCCGCCGCCGCCGCCGCCGCTTCGGGAGCCGCGACCCCGCTGCCGCAGCCCCGGCAGGTGCTGTTGGGGCCCGGGAAGGGCGGGCGGGAGCTCCCCGTTCACGTCTCGGGCGGGAGTTCTMCCCGAGAAAGGGGCGCGGGACGGAGGGGGCGGGGTGGGAACGGAATCCGGAGCAGCGCGGACGGCGCGAGCCGGGCCTGAGGGGACAGCAGGGTGTCGCGGAAACGGGCGGGCTGGGATTGGTCGGACCGGCGCTGCGTCGGGCTGTGATTGGCTGGGCCGGCCCGGCCGCGGGGTATAAATACCGTGCGCAGGGTGGGTTTGGGGCGTCAGTTCGGCGGCGGTGGGACTGGGAGCGGCGGGCGGAGGTGCCGGKSCGCGAGCCGAGGAGCGCGGCTGCAGATCCGGGGAGCGCGGCTGCAGATCCGGGGAGCGTCGGTGAGCACGGGCGCGACTCCCGCGTTAATCTGTGCCGGAGCTGGGGCCGGCGCCGTCTTGGGGCAGCGGCGCCGGTTATGCCCTGCGAGGCTCGGGTAGCGGTGGTGGCACCTGGAGAACCGGCTGCTACCGGGTCCGGGGGAAAGTGCTTCACGAGGGTTTCGGTTTTAAAGTACCAAAACATAAGCAATAAACTTTTTTCGGTGTTTTTCTTTTGGTTTTTGTGCGAGTGGGTTTGTTTTGTTGTGTTATTTTTGTTTGGTTTTGATATTGTTTTAAAATATGCTTTTGTTTAATTCCCAATTATTATTTTCTTAACTGGTTGCTTGATTATTGTACTCATTTTATATTGTATTTATATTTGTACTGTATTGTGTTATATTTATATTATATTTATTAAATTGGTTTATATTATATTGTTTCTATTATATTGTTGATATTATATTTTATATTGTATTACTGTAGTACTACGTTATTTTAGTTTTAGTCTGTTGAACCTTTTACTACATATTTGATAATTAAAACTTCTATGGCTAGGGCTGAATCACCGAGGCCATAGTRGACAAAGGCCCAGAGTGTGGAATATGGACCTTGGGACTAGAGTCAGGCCCAAAGTGATGTGGACAAGTRCTGGGGCTGGARCTGGATAAATCCCGTRGGAGGARGGGATGGAGCTGCAGTTCAGGGACTACAGGAAGTGCCTGTGGGGTTGCCAGCTCCTGCCCTGTGGTAGCAAGCACCAGCGGAGGGTGTGGGGGCTCCGAGGGCTCTGGGGCCTGAGAAGCAGCCCAAGGCCCCTTTTTGGGATGGGGAAGCAGAGGCCCAGTGGCCATTCCCAGGCCCTGGTGCTGCCTGGGAAAGGGGAGGGGGCCTTTTAGGCAAGTGGTAGGGGTGAGAAGGTACATGTCGGAGTTTAGGCCTCACGTGCCCCACAAGCTGGGATCCCACGGTGGTAGATGTGATTGTCTCTACTAGAGAGCTATGAAGTGATGACAGTAACTAATTTGTGATTTCTCAACAGCCCCGGGTTGCAGGTAGAAGCTGGAGCAGTAGGAGCTGAGGAGCTGGAGCTGAGGCAGCAGAGCTGAAACAAATATGGTAGGGCTGGGTGTTGTAAACACATGTGGGGCTGGGACAGAGAATGTGCAGGTGTAGCTGGAGTGACTGTGGGACTCAAGGTTAAAACACTGGGGGCGGGATGGGCAGTGGAGGGCTGGATTGTGTGTGGAGCTTTTAAAGGCACTGTGAGATTGAACCTGAGAGGCCAGCAGCGCCTATTGACTRGTTCAGCGCTAGGCATTGCAAAGCTTAAGCTGAAATGGGTGTGAGCCTGTGATATAGAGGTTGCGGTTGTGATTGAGAMTGCAAATGGTACAAAAATTGTTGCCCTAAAGAGGACAGTGGGATTGGTGTTCGAATCCCTGTAGAGCCTGGAGAGTTCCAATGGTGCTGGGTTAGAGACTGTGTGCTGGAGCTGAATTTTTACCTGGAGCATCCGGAGCTGGCCGTGCTGGAGTCACGAAGAGCKGGAGCTGGAAGAGTGGAGCTGGCTGTYAAATAAAGCTTGTGGGTCAAGAGCTGAAATCACTTAGGCTGGGATGGGGAGCTGCAGCTGAGATCCCTGGGCCTGGGCTACAGAGATGAAACAGGATAGAAACTGTGCCGCTGACCAAGGGACTGCGGGCTTGGAGCTGAAATGTTGTTAGGGCTCTGACAGGGATTGTGGTGCTGAGTTTGGGTCTAAAAATGGCATAGGAACAAATGGCATAGAAAAAAAGGGATTGTGTGGAGCTTTGAAAGGGACTGTGAGRTTSAATCTGGGAGGCCAGTAGTGCTGTCCTATTGACTGCCTCAGTGCTAGGCATTGCAAAGCTTAAGCTGAAATGCCTGTGCGCCTGTGATATAGATGGTGGGGCTGGGATTGAG